TATTGTTCAGGGCTCAGAACTTGCTGTATTTTTGGTGACATTAGTCCCTCTGAGTCCCGATCGGTGATCCAATAAAGAATCTCTTCCTTCCTGAAGAAACCTGTGTCCATCCCTCTGTGCTTTGCTTCCGTCAGTTTCTCCGGTATCACTAATGCTGGCAAAGCATCAGGGGAGTAGTAGACAATCTACATCTGGACAACTAAATGTTGCCCTGGTATATAAGGAGTGAAATTAGGCATTAATTAAAGGAATCATTTAGTGCCAGGATAACAAATCTGTTTTCCTGCCACTATAGGCTCCTGGAGTGCCTCCCTCCCACTGGGCTGAAGGGGTTAAAACTCCTTCAACCACTTACCTGAATCCAGCACCGATGTCCCTTGGCACTGGGCCAGGCTCTGCCCACGCTACTCCCCATAGGAAAGCATTAATGCTTTTCTACAATTAAAATCTGATGCTGGAGGTCCGTGAGGACGTCCAGCGTCAGATAAAAGACCGAAAGTCAGTTTGGATTCTGGAAGCCCTCTAGTGTGAGGGCAGACTTGGAGCTGCAATGTAAGCATTGCTGTTCTCTGGAACAGCAATGTTCAGGGACGGACTGACCACTCGGGCAGATCGGTCATGGACCGAGGGCCCAAGGCAGTCAGCGGCCGGCTGCACTCATGCTTCTGCTGTGGAGATCTCTGAAGGAAGTTTGCATGGGCTCATGATGATACAGGGGGCCCCAGCAACCTGTCACCCTGCAATTCCTTGCTCTCACTGCCAGGTCTCCTCTCTCTCCCTGCAGCTAGCGCACAGTGCTCCATGTGGGGATGGGAGGGGGCAGGAAGTGACATCACACCCCTGTTTCTCTCTCACACAGAGCACTTGCATCATGGGTGGAGGGTGAGGACAGGTGTCTGGCACAGCAGATCCCTCCCAGTGAAGCTATTGGGAGGATAAAAAACTGTGGTGCAGGTAAGCAGGTTTGGGGTGAAAAGGGCAGATAAATATGTGGGTTGAAGGGATAAGACAGGGCAGAGACACACATGGGGTTTTGTAGAGATGTGGGGTAGATGTGCTTTTTTTTAAAATTTATTAATTACATATTTTTGCTGGTTCTCTTTTTATTTCTTGATGTTTGTCTAATTTTTGTGATGTGTGTGTTTTTATCTTTTCCACCTATAGGGAATTTATTTTTTTGATCATTAGTTTAACTAAGGTGTCATTACCTGATATTGCTTGCCTGCTTACAGATTTTTTGTACAGCCCATTATATTACCTTTGCTTTTTAAGTGAATTCCCTATGCTTATGAATATGTAAATGTGTCATGAATGTTTTATATGGTATAAAATGTAATAAAGATTACATTTAAAAAATAATAATAATTAGTGGTAGGGGTTAACAATGAAAGAGAAACTATAGAAATACATATGTATTTCTGACACTATAGTTTTGAAAGAATAGTTTAGGGGATCAACCCCCCTATCAGAGGAGTAAAAGGTGTTATTACTCATCTTTATTCCGCGCTGGAATAAAGTGCCGCGCTGGTCTCGTCGAAGCTGGCTCCACCCAGCTCCGCCTCCTTGACTGAGATCATCAGTCTGAGAAATTTCGCCCTGGCACCTATGATTTACCAGCTCTTTAGTCAATGTGGCCGCAGAGGGAGCTTTATTAGAGCCACCTGCCTTGGGGAGCAGTAATCTTACTGCAGCTCCTCTCTGCTCCCTCGCGCTGTTTAATGATGCCGGGAGCTGGAATATGATGTCACTCTGGCCCCAGAGGGCGTGCAGGGATCAGGGGGCAGAGAGGAACTGCAGAAAGATTACTGCTCCCTCACACACAGGAAGAGAGCAGCCCCATTGGACCCCAGGGAAAGATCCACTCAGCTATCCCAAAGGTAGGGAGGCTGAGTGGGTTTCAATTAAAACCAAAATTTGTGTGTGAGTGTGTGTGTAAGCCTGTCAGAGTGAGACTGTGTGCCTGTTGTGTGAGCCTATCACAGTGTGTGTGTATGCCTGTTGTATGAGCCTGTCCAGGGCCGGCGCTACCTGTTAGACGGACTAGGCAGCCGCCTACGGTGCCCCTTGGGAAGGGGCGCCGCCAGGAGCGCTGGCCCCTCTCATGCTGCAGCCGCCCGAGCGCTCTGTAGAGAGCCTCAGGCGGCTGCAGCTTTGCCCAGGCTGGTGCGTCCATGAGGGAGCACCGCCCGCGCACAGCATGAGGAGAGGGGCTGACGAGGGCAGCGCTCCCTCCTGTCACTCCCTCACTGTAACGTGGCCGAGCTCTGTATGGTCCGCGGGTACAGGGAGCATCTGTCTCCTGTACCCGGTCGGACTAACAGGAAGTGCACACTGAGTGTGCGCTTCCTTTTAGTCCGGCCGGGTACAGGAAACAAAAGCTCCCTGTACCCGCGGACCATACAGAGCTTGGCCACGCTACAACAGTGGTGGGGGGGAGAATTTGACAGGGGGGGGAGAGTAGGGAGGGAGGGAGGGGGGAAAAGAGAGTGACAAGAGAAGGGGGAGAGATTGACATCCATCACACACACACAATCACACACAATGCACCCCTTAGACACAAAGACAATGCACCCCTTGCACACAGAAAAACACACAATGCATTACACACACAGACACACATACACAAGCAATGCAACCCTTACACAATATGCATCCCTTACACACACAGAAAAACACAATGCATCCCTTACACACATTCAGTGCATCCCTTACAGACGCACACACTGCATCCCGTACATACACAGAAACACACCTTGCAGCCCTTACACATACAAACACAGATTCACACAATGCATTCCTTACACACATATCAGGACATCCCCTACACACTCCACCCCCGTGAACAAACTCATTGGTGGAACATGAAGGTGGACCCTGGGACCCAGACCTTGAGCTGTGTAAAGGGCCCCCAAATAATGGAGCTGCTTCCCATTCTCCCAGAACATTGATTTTTGTGACCACAGTTACAAACAGCCTCCAGAGAGCCTGTTCTACACCAGACCAGTGGAGCCAGACTGCAGCTAGAGCCCATCATCATCCTCATCTGGTTGTAAGTAGGCAATCTAGTATATTATTCGTGGCACTAATCTCTAATTTACCTCACATTAAAGAAACAGCTTAATGTAGTGGTTCTGGTGTCTATAGCCTGTCATTGCAAGCCTTTTAAAGGAACACTATAGTCACCTAAATTACTTTAGCTAAATAAAGCAGTTTTAGTGTATAGATCATTCCCCTGCAATTGCACTGCTCAATTAACTGTCATTTAGGAGTTAAATCACTTTGTTTCTGTTTATGCAGCCCTAGCCAGACCTCCCCTGGCTATGATTGACAGAGCCTGCATGAAAAAAAAAAAACTGGTTTCACTTTCAAACAGATGTAATTTACCTTAAATAATTGTATCTCAATCTCTAAATTGAACTTTAATCACATACAGGAGGCTCTAACAGGGTCTAGCAAGCTATTAACATAGCAGGGGATAAGAAAATCTTAATTAAACAGAACTTGCAATAAAGAAAGCCTAAATAGGGCTCTCTTTACATGAAGTGTTTATGGAAGGCTGTGCAAGTCACATGCAGGGAGGTGTGACTAGGGTTCATAAACAAAGGGATTTAACTCCTAAATGGCAGAGGATTGAGCCGTGAGGCTGCAGGGGCATGTTCTATACACCAAAACTGCTTCATTAAGCTAAAGTTGTTCAGGTGACTATAGTGTCCCTTTAATGTAAACACGGCGGCACTGCAGCACTGGCATTAGTTAACATGGCAGATCATATGGGTGGGGCATTGTGATGTCACATGGGGGGGGGCGGCAAACTTTACTTTTGCCTAGGGTGGCAAAAATCCTTGCACCGACCCTGAGCCTGTCACATTGTGTGTGTTTGTGTGAGCCTATCAGAGTGTGTGTGAGCCTGTCAGAGAGTGTGTGTGAGTGCGTTTAGGTACCTGCCCACTCTGATTTTTTTCCCATGCCATGCCAGTTTCTCCGTGGATGGTCCCACCTCCATGGCTGAGATTATCAATCTTCATGATCTCAGCTAACCCAATGCTTTCGTGCATGTGCAGTCCTGACCCAGGACTCTAGTGGCCGTCTGAGTGACTGTCACTAGAAGTGTTACTAAGCAGCACTTCAGGTTGAACATCAGGTCCTCCCACTAGAGGTGTTCCTAGGCAGTAATGTAAACACTGCCTTTTCTCTGAAAATGCACTGTTTACATTAAAAAGCCTGCAAGGATTAGCTGTGGACACCAGAACTACTACATTAAACGGTAGTTGTTCTGGTGACTAGAACGTCCCTTTTAATAATTAATATTTGGTCTTCAAAGGGCTCAGGATATAATGTTGCCCGGGGGCCCAGAAGGCTGTCAGTCCGTCCCTGGAACTGCTATGTTTATAATAGGGTTAATCCAGCCTCTAGTGGCTCTCATAGACAGCCGCTAGAGGCGCTTCCGCGCTTCTCACTGTGATTTTCACAGTGAGAAGACGCCAGCATCCATAGGAAAGCATTGATAATGCTTTCCTATGGACCGGCTGAATGCGTGCGCGGCTCTTGCCGTGCATGCGCATTCAGCCGATGACGTCGCTATGGAGGAGGAGATTCCCCCGATGGAGAAAGAGGTAAGTTTAACCCCTTCCACCCTCTAGAGCCCGGCAGGAGTGGGACCCTAAGGGTGGGGGCATTCTCAGGGCACTATAGTGCCAGGAAAACGGGTATATTTTCCAGGCACTATAGTGGTCCTTTAATATTGCAGCACTAGGTTAAATTAGCTGAAGTGGTCTGAGTGGCTACAGTGTCCCTTTAAGGAAAGTGATATGGTCTGGGGTAAAATGTAAGAAAATGATAGTCAAGGTTTGCTTTTGTGCTCTCACTACCACCACTCTGGTATCCCAGTATTACTATATAAATTACATAAATTTTCAGCACTCCTTGATTTGTGAGTAGTAAAATCTTTATTGGCAATCCAAACTGAAAAATGTTTTAACAAACAATTTGTCTTTTTCAAGCAGTGTTAAAAATAAGATACTGCAATAAATAATTAGATAGCAGATTTCAATCACACACAAATTGCTATCATCTAAATATTGTATGAAAATTGTGTAATATAAAAGATTATGGAAAAAGTTTTAAATTACAGTTAGATAAAAAAGCTTTTGATAAAGCCTAACCGTATGTGAAACTCGTTAAGTGTAACATCTCAGGAGTATATAAGTGTAAAATGTATAGATTGTCTAACCTCTGGAATATTAAAGGGACACTATAGCCACCAGAACAACTACAGCTTATTAAATTTGTTCTGGTGAGTAGAATCATTACCTGCATGATTTTTGCTGTAAACACTGTCTTTTCAGAGAAAATGCAGTGTTTACATTACAGCCTAGTTATAACTTCACTGGCCACTCCCCAGATAGCTGTTAGAGATCCTTACTGGGTCATGGCTGCCTAAAATGCATTCAAACATTCAGTGTCTCCTCCCTCTGCATGCAGACACTGAACTTTCCTCACAGAGATGCATTGATTCAATTCATCTCTATGAGGAGATGCTGATTGGCCAGGGCTGTGTGTGAATCATGTAGGCTCTTCCCCTGACCTGCCTCCTTGTCAGTCTCGGCCAATCCTATGGGGAAGCATTGTGATTGGATCAGGCTACCACTTCTGATGATGTCAGCAGACTGCTTGTTTTTCTGAGTCTAACAGAATGCAGAGTTACAGCTTCAGGCTTGAATACAGTAAGATTTTTACTATATTTATGGAGGCATGAGGGACCCTAAATGGTGATTTTAACACTATAGGGTCAGGAATACAGGTTTGTGTTCCTGACTCCATAGTGGTCCTTTAAGCCTAAATTTGCTTTATTTATTTATTACTGGCATTTATAAAGCTCCAACATATTCCTCAGCTCTGTACAATTAGGGAAGAAGGTACAATATACACAAACAAATACAAATGGTAAGGAGGGCCCTGCCGTGAGCGGGGATCTAACCATTGAGATCTTTTAAACAAAGTGCTTAGATAACCCATGAGCTTACAATCTATAGAAAATAATGGGGATTTGAGACAAGAGATAGAGTGAATTTGAAATTGATAGCTTAAGGAAGTTAATGGAGAGTAGAAGCTACTAGTAAAATGTAAAGGGAATTAGGAGGTGTAGCACCGGTGTCCGGATGAAAGCTTCCTAAAGGAGCTGAAACGTCGATTTTGATTTTTCCACAATAAATGGAGTAATGAATTTTCGAAAATCCTTGAGTGCCGGTATTTTTCCTTTTTATATATATATATATACATACATACATACACATACATACATACATACATACATACATATATACACATACATACACACACAAATTTACACACACATACACTAAGTGTATTTCAATATTAATATAATTATATATATTAATTTCAAAATACACGTAGAATGATATTGATTAAATATATATATATAATTATATATATATATATATATATATATATATATATATTATATAAAAAATCTGTAAATACCGGTACATTAAACAATAAAAAATAATAAATAAAATGTGTTATTTCGTTCTAACTGTATTGTGATAATATATTGATATCAAAATACACATAGAACAAAAGAATATATATATCTATATACATAAGTATATACGTATATATCTATATAATTATATATATATATATATAATTCTGCGTACCGGTATATATTTATGTAGTATTTTTACATAATTAGGTCATTTTATTAATAACAATTTGCGGGACTTTTTTTTAAAAGTTTTTTGCATTTTTCACACATAAACGGCACTTACAATGACGATATTATTGCTGTGATACTTTTTACGGTTTTGAAACACATATTTGTGTTCAGTGAAGTCTCCCGAGTATAACAGTACCCCTCATGTTTTCAAAAGTTAGAGAGTCAAATATAAGGCTTGCGTTTCAGTTTTTTCGCATTGAAATTTGCCAGATTGGTTACATTGCCTTTGAGACCATATGGTAGCCCAGGAATGAGAATTACCCCCATGAGGGCATACCATTTGCAATAGTAGACAACCCAAGGTATTGCAAATGGGGTATGTCTAGTCTTTTTTAGTAGCCACTTGGTCACAAACACTAGCCAAAGTTAGCGTTAATATTTGTGTGTGAAAAATGCAAAAAACTAATCTGAACGCCAATTTTGGCCAGTGTTTGTGACTAAGTGGCTACTAAAAAAGACTGGACATACCCCATTTGCAATACCTTGGGTTGTCTACTATTGCAAATGGTATGCCATCATGGCATCAATAATTCTCATTCCTGGGCTACCATACGGTCTCAAAGGCAACGTAACCAATCTGGCGAATTTCAATGTAAAAAAACTGTAACATGCTATATTTGACCCTGTAACTTTCCAAAACACCATAAAACCTGTATATAGGGGGTACTGTTTTACACGGGAGACATCACTGAATACAAATGTGTATTTTATTGAAGTAAAAGCAAACAGTATTATGACATTCACAGTTAAAATGTCACGTAGAACTAAAAAAAAAAAAATGTCTTATTTTCTCCCATTTTTTTAATATTTTATTCATATTAAATTATGTTTCATAGCTAAATATTTGATGTTAAATGAAAGCCATGTTTCCTCTGAATAAAATGATATATAATAAGTGTGGGTGCACATAATATGAAAGAGGAGATTTACGGTTGGACAGACATGTAGCGCAAATGCCAGGTTTTGTTTCTGTTTTGTTATGATCACAATGTGTACATTTGGCTCAGTCCTTAAGGAGTTAAATAGAACAAGCTCAATGTGACTTGGGATGTTTATTTTGCAATTGATTTGAGTGCATTGTGCAACTTGTGAGGGCATTACGTCATGAAACTAAGTGTTAATTTTTTACTTTTTTCTGTAGATGAAAAGACGGAGAGTTGAGAAACTTTTCAGCACACAAATGCACGCCCATCTACTTTAGAGATCAAAAGATGTTTGATCAGTCATTTTGCGATACAAATAACATTTTTCAGGGAATTGTTACATCATCAACAAGCCTCCCACCTCTCAAGCGTTTGGCGGGCTACTCCTGTTTTTAGGTTCTGTCCCACCTTAGTTCCCTGTTGTCCCACGTTTGGGAACTGTCCACAAGAATAGCATAAGCACTTTGGGGTGTATGTAATAAATAGCAATCGATTTACATAATCGAAAGTGCCATATTTTAGTTCTGCATGCAATTTCCCTGTAATATAGTGTGAATTAGGGTTAATAACACAGAGTTCGGAATTCAATTTCCCTGGTCTCTATCAGGGGAACTGTATAAACTGACAAACTAATTCAGTTGCAACTCGGCTATTTCTAAATAGGTAAATGGAGATTTGGCTGATTTTAACAGACACTCAACCAAATTTGTGCTTCACTTCTGCTGTAGGTCGAACTAATCAAATTTACATTTTATGAATTGTGACAATTAGGAGTGTTTTTTTTTTTTGTGGCCTCCTATATGTATTATTTTTTTGTACAACTATATGACTATGCTAACATTTCACAGTAACCTCATTCTTTGTTATAATATGCCAGAAAATGTGCTACCTCCTTTATACTAGACCACCAAAAAGAGGGACACAATAAATTGAAACCTTATTGTTCCTCTGGAAGCAAGTTTCCTATAGTGCATCACAGCAAACCTCCATGCTCAAATCTGCAAACAGGTGAACAAAGAAAGGATAGACTGACTGTATCTGTCACCTATGTACGAAGAGAAATTGTATCATATTATCGCTTTCAGATGTCTCATTTCATAGGCATACACACAGATAGTGAAAAATAAAAATGGAAAGATAAACAACATACTCAGAGATTTATTCTTCTCTTGGAAACTTTACACTAAAATCTTGACAAGGTGGTATATTCAAATAGCAACACAAATAGCTCTGACATGGTAACAACACTATAAGCTGCCCAGGAGGACATTCAACTTCAAGTGAGTAAAAGGTCAGGTATGTGAACTGCAAAAACCAGCCACATTGCCTCCTTTGTTAATTTTTATAGGGCTGAGTGAAAAGTCATATATGTACTCATAAGAACTCTACCCTAGCCACCACCTGCAGCTTTTCAGGGTAAATCCTGCACAGATTTTATTTGTATAATTATTTTTGTGGAATTTGTTTTGTAGAAAAATTCTCAGCCCTCTTTATTTTTATTGTATAGTATTCATATAGTGGTAACATATACTGCACCACTCGGGGAATACAGGCATACAATATCAGGGGTTTAGCAATTTTTTAGAAAAATCTACTTGTCTAAGGGATAAAAGCTGTAGACCAATCTATTTGCCCATACTTACAAATTCAGTTAGAATGATTAGGGCCCTTGCCTACAACCCTGAGTATAGTGTCTCATCCTCTGACCCCCTCCCAACTCCATGCTCTGTTCTCCCCCATAGTCCGATGTTAACTCTCTTACTGTGTAATGTTTGTTGTTTGTGCTGGCTATGTGTAGCATTTGTCTGTGGTGTGTACTGGTTGTGTGTGTTATGTCTGTGTGACCTAGCTGTTTGCATACCTCTCAATAATTTGGACAGGGCAATCGGGACAGGGTTGTCTAGGCCCTAAGGGGGCATTGCCAGTGATGCCAACTGTATCACTAGCAATGCCTATAAGGGGTTGTTTACCCAGTAAGAGGCCTGGCCAGCCCTCAGCCTCGATTACCATGCGTTGAACACTGGTGAAGTGCTCCCAGCATGGTCCTAGTATCCACTTCATAATGCAAAAGCATCTAATGATGGGATCAGTCTGTACTGCAAAGGGACAGTTCCTTAGTGTCTCCACATGTAAGACAACAGGGAACTAAAGTTGGACAAAACACAAATTATAATTGTCCCGTCACAAGCAGGAGGTCTGGCTGTGTATAATGTGTGTGGATGTGTTAGCTATGTTCAGTGTATGTGCGCTGTTTGTGTAATGTATATATAATGTGCATATGATGACTCTATATTGTGTGTAATGGTGCTCTCTATTTTTACCCCCTTCTGTTTACCTGTCAGGGATGGGGGTTATGAGTGGGGGTTAAAACTCCATGCTGGTCCAGTGTGGGTTAAAGCTCAATGGCGGTGCAATTGGAGTTAAATCCCAATGGTAGTCCAGTGTCACGGCTATACTCTGTCTGCCTAATAGGTGAACTGGAAGCGCTGGCACTGTGGGGGATTATGTGGTCTACCCCTCCGGCACCTGCTAGAGGTGCAGACCACATGCTCCCTGCCCTGACACTCTCCTCTCTAGTAGTCCTGTTGCTTGAAAAATAAACTGCCTGCCCGATGTACCTAACGACATGTCCTGGGCGTCAGACTATAGGAAATCCACATCCCTACATGGTCCTCTGTTCATACTGGTTGAAAAGAAACAGACGACCGTGACTGCAAGCTTACAGTCAATGGTAACTAAAACCGCCATCACTTCTTATCTTTAAGTAGAAGGAAAAATGTGGTGGGTAAAATGTTTGTTGAAGGGGCATCTCGTGCATTAGATTAATTATTCGCATCCCCATGTAATGTTATGATAAGCAATATCACACTTGCATAGAGATCTCATTCTGGCCTCAAACATACATGAGATGATTGTGCAGTTACTTCACATAACATTGCAAGCACCATAGCTACTGTAGCTCACTGTAGTGGTTACAGATCCCGGATTGCCTTGGTAACCCAACGCACTGTAAGAAATCAAACCCTTTTTGAATGTCTTGACGTCTGCTTGAGATTCACCAGGTATCACTCTTAACCTCCACTACTAATGCTGGAGGGCTGGAAGCTCCTAAACAGGAGCTTCCGTTAGCTCGCTGGCTGAAAGCAACCAGTTAATGCTTTAAGCCCTTCACGGCAATGCTTAATAAGTGTGAGCTAACAGACGTTCCTGCTTAGGACTTTGTCTCTCCAGAGAAGGCTGCGAGAAGTGCTTGGGGGACCTCGGGTAAGAAGTCAGACTATTCAAAAACAGTTTGACTTCTTACAATGGGATGAAGATAGGTGGGAGCAGGGCACTTCTGATCTATAACTGGTTATGGTGCTTGGAATCTTTATATTGACTATCATCTTACATGCACACCAATATGCTTCACTCTTTCATATTATGTTTTTCTTTTTCTTTGAGGTTTCTTATTTGCCTTTATATAGCCCATCACCTGACAAAACCTAATAATGGGCGGAGCTGAGTTCAAGCACTGCTTTCATTGTCAAGTGTTTTTTTTCTTTATAATTCTCACCCCACTTCAAATCTCATGTAGCCTACTTTTTGTCCAAAATCTTTGCTCACATGTAATTCTTTTGCCATTTACCTAATGGTCTGAGGCCACCTGAATAGGCATGTGTGGGAATTACAGTGCACACCTACAACATTGAAGATGAGGGCTATTTGAAAAGAGATCTGGTTGGAGATAGAACTGCTAAAAAAGCACAGACAGAGGCTAAAATAGAATTAACGCTGGGAGAGTTTAAGTTTAATATAGAGGAGAAAGTGTAAAATAAATACAGGGTTATGACAAAGCTGTTCTAAGATGTTTGTAAAATATTGCCAACTATGTTCAGGGAGACTTGTAAATAATAAGTAAATATAAAATAAAGAAGTGCTTTACATTAATCCAGATGTCCTTAGAGATTGAAGGAAGATGTGTCAATATATAGGGAAAAGCATAGCTTCAGGAAAAAATCCTTTCACGTAAAAAGAGACCCTGTTGCATACTGTTAAGAGAATTGGTTAACATGGACTGCAAAACTCTTTCTTAAATACGGTTTGTAAATTATTTTTAAAAAGTCAGTTTTTACTTCACAGTCAGTATTTTTTTTATTGGTTCTATAATCTTTCTTTTCCCCTTCTCATTACTTTTTTCTCCACCTCTGCTATAACAGCTATTTTAGATACCGAGGCAATCATCCAATTCTAATACCTTATTCAATATTTTACTACTTGCACAAGTCAGTCCAATATTCTTTGTAAACCATAACCACCTTTCATAAGGTCACCATTTGAAAAATGCCCTGATGCTGGCCCAGAGTTGTGTTAACCACAGGTCCGCTCCCAGTTGACTCATGTACTGTATTTCGGGAGTTAACATATTCCTGCACAATTGCCTGTGCTGTTTTGAAATGTTCTTTTTCAGGTTATAACCAAGAATCACATTTTCACCTATTGGCTGCCAAGGCTGGAGCCCAGATTCTTTAATTTTATTGGCATCTACTGGACCCCCTCCTGCAATACATTCTTGTATCAGTAACTCATTTTTCCTCTGCAGATGTAACACATCTTGTTTCATCCTCTCGACCCCATACTCCTCCACCTTCTTCCAAAATGTGGAGTTAAAGTGGTTGTAAATGAGAGTATCTAGAGCGTTCCAGTTCTGTGCCATCAGATGCATCTCAGGACCCAGCCTGGAGCCATATGTGTTCTTGCGAGCATTAAGCTTAAAATAAAATATATCTTCCAGCTCCCAACACAGCAGGTCTTTTAAAAGTAGCAAAGACTCATCAAAATACTCCATCAACATTACTAAGTGAAAACGTTCATCCAGTTCCTTTAAGATCAGTTTCACTTTGGGGTTTTTGGCATCTAATTCATTGTCATAACCCAGGTCAAACATCAGCAAGTTGTGAAGATAATGGGCATTATAACCACTTGAGTCATAATAGCTCAATGGGCTCTGGAGAAATGTGTCCATCTTTTGCTTACTCCCTGAGCCTGGAATTGTCCATGTTAGCGGTACCACTCTGGCAAAGTACTGAAAAGATGATTCGAAGAGAAGTGCAGGGTCACGGAGAACAGTGACAAACACAGCATCTTGAGGGAGAAGAGGTCTTACTTCTGAATGCTGGTAACGCATGTGGTTACAGATAATGTTGTAGCAGATATCAGGACGGTAACCTTCTACTTGTGAACGCTGAAAGTAGCTTGGATACTCAAAATCATTGCGACCACGTGGAAAGGCAAATCGGAGGTGATGTTTCTGTCCATACCGAAACAAAATATTTAGGATGGTGCTGCTTCCAGTCTTATGGGTTTTTAGGAACATGAGATTCTGCCGAGGACGACAGCTTTGCGTAAAAAATGAGCTGGAGTTTTTTGCTGGGTTTGAGGATTCCTGAATAGAAGAAGAAAAACAATCGAAGACAGGATTCCTAAAAGAAAGGGAGCATTAAACATTTTATTAGCTGCAACTCAGGGGTTCTCATCACACATTAATATCTGAAACTTTCCATCTGAGAAAAAAATACTTGTACATGTAGGATGTATGTCATATGCTCCAACATTACTATATTGGATTTTAAATGCTTACTAATCACATATACACACACACACACATATATATATACACACACACACACACACACATATATATATACACACACACACACACACACACACACACACACACATATATACACACACATATATACACATATATATACAGTGTGTGTGTCTGTGTGTATGGACACAGCAGTCTGTGTGTGTGTGTGTGTTTGTATGGATTCAGCAGTCTGTGTGTGCTGCTTGGCCCCCTCTTCAATGTACTGCGGCTGGCTCCCTCCACCATGCCACCAGGGAATGCGATCTCCCCCCCTCCCTGGCACCAGGGAGGGGGTAATAAAGTTGAAATATACACAAATAAATAATACTCCCCTCCCCTCTAGTCTGTGTGTACGTGTATAAATCAGTCTGTGTGCATTCAGCAACACCTGTGTGCATTCAGGAATCTGTGTGTGTGTGTGTGTGTGTATTTGGTGTACTGTGTGTATGTACTCAGCAGTCTATCAATAATTAAAAATGTTATTCCTGTGAGTTGTTGTGTAGGAAGGGCCCCAGTACACTGCTTTGCCTGGGTGCCCTTAACACTGTTAAGATGGTACTGCTTATGTGTGTTAGTAAGCTTCTATTTAGTGAGCATGTGTGTGTCAGTGAGCTTGTCTTTAGTGAGCTTGGGTGTGTCCCTGAACTTCTTTGTAGTGAGCCTTGTGTTTATACAAGTGAGTTTTTCTGTAGTAAGCTTGTGTGTGTCAGAGAGTTTTGTCTGTCAGTGAGCCTATTTGTGCATGTCAGTGATCTTGTGTGCTTACTGTACTGTACACAAGCTCACTGACATGCACAAATAGGCTCACTGACAGACAAAACTCTCTGACACACACAAGCTTACTACAGAAAAACTCACTTGTATAAAACACAAGGCTCACTATATATTTTGACTTGTAGAAATGGCATACATTTTTTTCCTGGGCTGCTTTGGATTCCCAGTTTGCCGAGTGCGCTATACTGCTGAATCATCTGTGTGAGCTGCCGCACACTTAAGCCCTGTTACACGTGTCTGGGAGCTGCTGTTGACAGGTACTAGTAGTCTAGAGATTGGGACATGGGGTATATGCTCAGCTATCTGTATAATACTATAGTGCTGTTCTCTGTATAATACAGATCTGTGTGTGTATAATATCCAGGGATAGTCAGTGCTTCCTGTATAGTGCTGCTCTTTGTATAATACAGGTCTGTGTCTGTATAATATCCTGGGACAGTCAGTGTTCCCTGTATAGTGCTGCTCTCTGTCTTTGGATATTATACACAAACAGACCTGTATTATACAGAGAGCAGCACTATACAGGGAGCACTGACTGTCCCGGGATATTATACACACAGCCATGTATTATACAGAGAGCAACACTATACAGGGAGCACTGACTGTCCCAATTTATTATACACTCAACCCTGTATTATACAGAGAGCACTGACTGTCCGGGATATTATACCCAGACAGTAATTGATAGCTGTGCTGCAAAATGTCCTTGGAATTTTTTTTTTCAAATGTTGGCAACTATGGCACTGTATCAAGGGAAATGTGTTTGTTTTTTTAATAATCCCTGGTGGAAAATAATGAATCCACAACCAGGGATTATTAACCCCTTAAGGACGGAGCCAAATGTACACGTTGTGAACCAAAAAAATGTAAACAAAACCTGGCATTTGCGCTACATGTCTGTCCAACCGTAATTCACCTCTTTCATAGTAAATGCACCCACCCTTATTATATATCATTTTATTCAGGGGAAACAGGGCTTTCATTTAATATCAAATATTTAGCTATGAAACATACATTTAATATGAAAAAAATGGGAGAAAATACGATTTATTTTTTATTTTTTTAGTTCTACATGACATTTTAACGGTCAATGTCATAATACTGTTTGCTTTTACTGCAATAAAATACACATATTTGTATTCAGCAAAGTCTCACATGTAAGACAGTACCCCCTATGTACAGGTTTTATGGCGTTTTGGGAAGTTACAGGGTCAAATATAGCACATTACATTTGAAATTGAAATTCGCCAGATTGGTTACGTTGCCTTTGAGACTGTATAGTAGCCCAGGAATGAAATTTACACCCATAATAGCATACCATTTGCAATAGTAGACAACCCAAGGTATTGCAAATGGGGTATGTCCAGTCTTTTTTAGTAGCCATTTGGTCACAAACACTGGCCAAAGTTAGCATTAGTATTTGTTTGTGTGTGAAAAATGCAAAAAACACCAATTTTGGCCAGTGTTTGTGACTAAGTGGCTACTAAAAAAGACTGGACATACCCCGTTTGCAATACCTTGGGTTGTCTACTATTGCAAATGGTATGCCATCATAGGGGTAATTTTCAATCTTGGGCTACCATAGGGTCTCAAAGGCAACCTAACCAATCTGGCGAATTTTAATGTGAAAAAAATGAAACGCAAGCCTTATATTTGATGCTGTAACTTTTGAAAACACCATAAAACCTGTACATGAGGGGTACTGTTGTACTCGGGAGACTTCGCTGAACACAAATATTTGTGTTTCAAAACAGTAAAAAGTATCACAGCAATAATATCGTCCGTGTAAGTGCTGTTTGTGCGTGAAAAATGCAAAAAACTTCACTTTTACTGGCGATATCATCGTTGTAATACATTTTACTGTTTTGAAACACTAATATTTGTGTTCAGCGAAGTCTCCCGAGTAGAACAGTACCCCCCATGTACAGGTTTTATGGTGTCTTGGAAAGTTATAGGGTTAAATATAGTGCTAGCAAATTAAATTCCCTTTACTTTCGGCATGGGTTGTCAGGCAGGTCCTGCTAATTGTAATTAATTAAGATACCTAATTATGTAAAAATATTACATAAATATATATGTAGAATTAATATATGTATATATATATACGTATGTGTATATATATATATATATATATATATGTATATATCTATATAATTTTTAAAAAATATTTTTATTTATATATAGCTATATATATAGTGATATATACGTATATATTTATGTATATAGATATATATATTATTTCGTTCTACATGTATTTTGATATATATATATATATATATATATATTCACAATACAGTTAGAACGAAATAACACACATCTATATATTTTTTAATTATTTCTTTTTAATTATTTTTTTAATTTTATTTTTTAACGTATTTACATATTAAATTTTTTTATATTATATATAAATATATATATAACAATAATTATATATATATTTAATCAGTATCAGTCTACGTGTAATTTGATATTAATATATATATATTAATAGTAAAATACACCTAGATGGTGTACGTGTGTGTATGTATATGTGTATATATATTTTTTTTTTACACTAATAAATTTAATTTTCATTTTATTTTCAGCCAGCAGGGGGACCACCTGTCATTACAGGCAGCCCCCCTGCTGGCAATGCAGGAGGCAGCCTACCCGGCCATGTGATTGTGAGGTCCTCGCTAAGACCCCACTCTCACATGGCCGGGGAGCACCGGAGGAGAAGGATCTGCCGCGGGGGGGCTCCCTGGGAGTCCCCCCCACCGTGATCGCAGGCGTGGGACCGCCGGCGACCGGGTAAGTTAACAAAAACTGGAGGGCGTACAATTACGCCCGGCGGCGTTTAGAGCCGCCTAAAATAGGGCGTAATTGTACGTCCTCCGGTCAGAAGGGGTTAAAAAAAAACAACAACACATTGTCCCGGGGGCGAGGCTTAACAAGCGGCAGGGGCGGGGTCAAACTGCGGCAAGGGCGGGGTTAAATGTGCCCCCCTACTTTTTTCCCTGGCCCACCATGTGCCCCCCCTAAAAATTAATCCTAGAGACGCCACTGTGAGGGGTTGTACACTATGGTGTTAGCTTGACATCTGAGTGTGGATCAAAATTTTGCGGTGTTTGCTGAGATTCTACAATAAAACTGCTGTTTGAAAAAGACCCTGAGTGCCTGGACTACAATGTCTTCACTACATGATAAAATAATGGGCATAATGGAGCCAAAAGCCCTACATATTTTTTGAAAGCCCTTCACTGCCTACCAGCACGGCAGGTGCCTATTCATTGTGCTTTTCCTGCACATTTGCTTTATGTGCACTGTAGTGATACCAGCTGCTCCCCCTTCCAATTGCTAAAAAAGCACAGATGGGTGCTCTGCAGGAAGACCACAGTGATACCAGGGGACCCACTTGACCGAAGGAAGAGGATCCACTTAACCCTCCCAGAGAAAGGTAGGGAGGCTAAGTAGATCTCTTGAAAGTAAATACATACAAATCGTGTTTCTTGTTCCTGTATGTCAGAATATGTATGTATGTGTGCATGTGAATGTGTGCATGCTACGTAGATAGCTCCCTAATTTGGTATCTCAAAGCTGAACCAGACAAATTAAGAATAGCCCCTTTCTAATTTGGATATATCAGCTGTTAAACAGATAGCTCCCTAATTTGCTATCCTTATATGTGATTGCCATATTTAAGAATATCAATTTAGGGAGTTGTTTAGTAAATAATGTTATTCATTGGCTGAGAGTAATCAGCTGACACTCTGAGCCAATGAGCTGCAGCAGCCAGATGTCATCAAAGTGAGCAGGAGAGGACCTTCTGTACTTGGATAAACCCAGGTAAAAGGGCAAAACATTGTAAAACAGTTTGTCCCATTACTAGGGAACAGTCAGGGTACTCCTACCATCATACCCATTACAGCAGGGTATAGTGGTTATGATGGTTGGAGTAACACTTTAAATATGGCAAGAAAAGCGGCTTTACTTAGTTTTGACCTTCCAGCTGTTTGGCAGATAGCTTTCTAATTTGCTACCCATATACTGGATTGCCATATTTAAGGATATCCAATTAGGGAGCTTCTGCTCTATTGGGAAGTTTTGTTCTAGATTTTTTGTACACTGGCTATGTATTATTTTAATGCAATCATGGAAAACTCAAGTGAATTTAAATATTTTGTGACAAATTAAAGACAATGACAATCTCAGAAAACTTTCCATTTAGAACATATCTGACCATCTTAATATACCATAGATTAAAAATCAAACTGCTTCAATATGAATAACACGGTGGTAAAAAGAATGTCTGATAGCTATTGTTTGAGTGTGTGACTCATGTAACTTTGTCTGTTTGCATACACATATTTGTTAATCCAGGAGACAGCCTCACACTAGCACAAAATATTTCCTTCCATCCAGTGAGAAGACATCCTGTAAAGATTATTAAGTGTACCATGCACATAGTTGAGCAGAAAACATAATTGCATGCATTATAGTATTATCTTGTATTGATCAAAGGGGACTCACCCTGTGCTGCTGAGGGTTAATGGTGGCATAGTGTATGAATACAACAGGATCAAAAAACTGGTGAGGAGAGTCCCTAGGATCAAACCTTTCCATATTGAGCGACAAAGCTTCCCCTGGGGTTTTATGCACATCATCTGCAAGATAAAAATATTTATTAAGTGCCAGGGACAAATACCAGTAGACATAATTAATAGGCACTGCTAAATCTAGGCTGTAATTCAAAGTTTGTTATAAGGAAATACCCGTGTAATATTATTTACCCAAGATGTTATCAAGAGGTCAGTATATAAAAATGTTATATAAATTTGCATTTTGTAACAGGTTAAAGGAACACTGTTGCTTTAGGAATACATACCTGTATTCTTAAAGCTACAGTCCTGTACCCCTATGCCAATTAGGTCCCTACCAACTGTTTAAAAAATTATTATTTTTTTAAACAAGAAACAAAAAAATTAACAAATTACTCACCTTTTCTTCAGCGCCGAGTCTCCCATAGCACTACCACAAACTTGTCCTCAGGTAACGTCATGCTGAAGGCGAGCATCCAGGATGACGGGCTAATCACAGCGCTCTCCAAAATGCGCTTATGATTCCTCCATAAACATTGTACTCAATGATTCTGTATGGCGAACGTGACATCACTGCGTGTGCTCACGTTATGTCATGGTATGTTACAGTATGAGAGTTGGGAGTAGGATTCTAAGCCTTCTAATCCATTTAATATTGGGTTTTGGAGGAGGGGGTAGGACAGGGTAGCCAGCCCTGTAGGCACTATTTAATAGGTTAGCTCCAGCACTTGTTCGTTAACAATAAAGATGACAAACATAGCTTAAAGCTTATATGGAATCCCACACCTAGCAAGGATCTTCCATGCCTATCCTGATGGCACTCCTTTCATCTCTGTGGTCAAATCAAATGCTTTTCATAAAGAAGTATTTGATTGGAATGTTTCAGTGGCTTAGAGCGCTTGCGCACGCTCTTTGCTGGTAAGAGGTAGGAGGGAGAGAGTAATGTAATAGTCATATACAGTACAATACAATTATAGGTTAGCTGTGAGTGTAGGTGGTTTTTTTAATTGAAGATAGATGAATGGAAGTCTTCCTCTTTGTCACAGGTACCAATAGCGGCCATGAGAGCTGGGTAATCTGTAGCCCCTCCTAGCAATCTATCCAATCAGATAATAGCATGCCGAACCCGAGCACCAGAAACACTGCAAACTGATCACCAGTTATGGTTATGGTCAACAAATTAACTTGTTTACGTTCTTCATAATAGAGTCCCTTACCAGCACAACTTGTCTGCTTCCGGATCCAACCCATTTTAGAGGAACTGTTCCTTTGGCAATTAAAAGGAATAGCTTCCACTAGCACAGACACTCCTGAGCTGACATTCCCAATGTACAAATCTGCTGGGGTGTACAAAATCAGGACTGGCCAGAGCTTTCCTCCTTCCTAGCAACCATGTGTGTCACCCAGCAACTTGCTGTTATCCAACTAGCATATATCCTCCCACTAAAATGTGTCCTCACTAAACTCTGCCCAATGAGTAGCACATCCTCTGCCCAGTTACTAGTGTTTAGAATAGAGAGAAGCAACTGGCTGCTTGATGTTTAATAGACATGCCCCTACCATTGGCATAGTAGGTAGGAGTACGAGGGAGGTTTTACACTTACATTATACTAATATGGATGGCATATTGACCTTCACAGGGTTTTATTTCACACTTAGAATGCATCTAACCTGAACTGAGCATGCATAGTTATTTTCTGTCACCGTTTTGACTACTTACATTGGTGACTATGCTGTAGTGATGATGATGCTTGGAGTGTTCCTTTAAGAAAGTAACCTGCTACAGCACTCTCCCACTCTTACCATAACCTAATAGTCCACAGCACTTAGAGCAATGCATTAATATCTCGCTTTATGGCGCTTTGATTTACGGAATTTCACCAACACATTGCTTTTCAATAATATAAAGAAACCAAACAAACAAGAAAAATATGGTGCAAAAAAGAGGCAACTAACATAAATAAAGTTATGGTTCCCCTAATATAACCCTTCTGTGTAAAATAATAATGCCACATAGAAAAGGGAGTACGCTTAAAATCACAGTGTATACTTATGTAATAAAGGAATAGCTCAAACTCTTTATATAACGAATTATGAGGGTGTTTGTTTTGGTCATTTCTCCTTTGGAATAAGACAGATTTTGAGGAGCCTGCATGGTATCCTCCGTTATGTCATACAGCTGAATGTCAGAGGGGCTGAAGATGCCATGTCCAATTCTGCTTTATTGGCACTGTAGTCCCCCGAGGCCGTAGTCCCTAATTCAAGGGTGCCAGTGGGTCAATCCACTTTGCTCTATATCCCTTATAATGAAGGACAGTGACTGTTTTGTAATTCACCTTCTTTTTAAAGTTATGCATGAACTAAGTTTCCTTATGAAGAATTTTTTTGCAATGGGCGGGGCTTATGCAAAGGTTCTATTTCAGTTGCTAAGCTAATCTACCCACAATCCATCAGTAAACAGAATCCCCCACAGAAGGGCAAACTGCAGACATCATGGACAGAGGAAAACAAAATGGAGGCACCAAGGAACTGTCATCTGGTGCAAGGAAGAAAACATAATACATATATAGACAAGTGACAATGGGGGAAGTATAATCATAAAAGCAACACTACAAGCTCAGAAACACAAACATGTATGGCTGACCTTATAGTGTTAAAATCACTATCTAGCCCCCTTGACCTGCCTAAATATAGTGAAATCTTACCTTTATTCCAGTCTGTTGGTGCCTGATCTGCCTCCTTGGCTGACATCATCAGAAGTGATTATCTCAGACAATCACAATGCTTTCCTATAGGAAAACATTTGATTGGTTGAGATCATCAAGGAGGCTGGCTGGGGTGGGGCCAAACCTTGCCCTGACCAATCAGCATTTCCTCATAGAGATGCATTGAATCAATGCATCTGGATGAGGAAAGTTCACTTCACAGAGGGTGGAGACACTCGATGTCTGCATCGCTGCCCCAGGAAGCACCTCTAGTAGCCGTCTGAGTGGCCATTGCAGGTGTTCTTAGGCTGCAGTGTAAACACTGCATTTTCTTTGATAGGACAGTGTTTACTGCAAAATTTAGAAACTATTTAGCACTAGGGGTTTTTTGGCGGTTGTAGATGCGCAACTCATTTTGGGGGTAAGAATTAGAAAAGGTGTATTTTTCATTATATTTTATAATAAATTATATGGTATGATGAAAATAATGATATCTTTAGAAAGACCATTTAATGGTGAAAAAAACAGTATATAATATGTGTGGGTACAGTAAATGAGTAAGATAAAAAAATACAGTTAAACACAAACACCGCAGAAATGTAAAAAGCGCTCTGGTCCTAAACGGTAAGAAAATGTAAAAACGGTCTGATCACTAAGGGCTTAAAGGGACACCGTAGGCACTGTATCTGCTTCATCTCATTAAACTTGTTCTAGTGTCTGGAGTCCCCTGTTTTTAATGTTGTAATGTTTTAATGCTAAACAAGAAACCCCAGCAGTCCATCCCCTCTGTGTTGCTTTGGCTAATAAAGAAGTATTACCCTGAGCAGCAATAGGCAGCTGTGATTGGCTGAGAGTGTCAGCTGACTGCTGACGGTATGAATGGGTATGACAACAAGGAAGTGTGTAATCTCTGCCTTAGCTACACATACAGAAGGGGCCGGACTGTGGGTGGACAGGGACTCTTATTTTGTGGCATACTGCACAAACATGGTGCAACACTGAATGGAGGGACAGTGCCAGGGCACTCCAGGCGCTATAACCAATTCAAAGAGATGAAGTGGTTATAGTGACTACAGTGTCCCTTTAAGAAAAAGGGAGCATGAGAATAGGAAAACCAATAGGAAAAAACAAAGAGATATGCATCAGCTCCTGAAAAGTTTCAAACCATCATGCAGCTGCTTTATCCCACAAAGGGTGTAAAATGTAGCACTGAGAATTTGTAAGAGACTAGGACAGTTGTAAAAAAAAAAAAAACACGGACAGGCTTCTTCACCCCTCTTAATGTACTATTCTTTTGCTTCTTATTATGAATACTATGGTTAAAATGCTTCTTTCAATGTATGCTCATCTCCCAGTTCTACCTAAGTTGCCTGAAGATGTAAGCCTCTAGCGCAGGGGTTACCAATTAATTTGACAAAGTGTATGAACATCGTGGAACCCACCCCCCTAAAAAACAAAAACAACAAAAAAACAACAATTTGCATTGTTGCATAAACCTTTTTTTTCTAGTGTGTGTATCTGTGTGTGTGTGTGTGTGTATATATATATATATATATATCTGTGTGTCAAGGTGTGTGTATCTGTTTGTATGTGCCGGTGTGTATATATATATCATACACACACACACCTTGACACAGAGTGTATCTGTGTTTGTATGTGCCAGTGTGTGTATCTGTGTGTCAGTGTGTATTTATCTGACACAGAGATACACACACACTGACACATAGTGGTACACAGATACACATACTGACAGATACACATACCTTGACACACAGACACAGATACACACACTGACACATAGACACACACTTTGACACACAGAAACACAAACTGGCACATACACACAGATTGGCAGGTACACACACAGACACATATGTTTAATTTTGTTGTTAACTTACCCTTTTTGTTCCATCAATGCTGCAGGCTGAGGTTGGTGTGCCAAGTGCGCATGTTCTCCCTCCAGCTGGTGCTCTAACAGGTGTGTTCTGTCTGGGAGGAAGTGCTGTTACTTTCTCCCAGCGTCCCATACAACAGGGGTCCGGTCGCGGTCTCAGACGGCTGCGGCGCCTGACTGGACCCCTGTTTAGCGATACCCATTGGGTGGCCCAAAATGCTTGGGCCACCCGACGGGCAAATCGCAGCGCTAAGGTTCCGCAGAACACCAATTGGGAAACTCTGCTCTAGCGTATACCTTACTTTTTGACTGATTAGCTATATTACAAAGCTTTGTATTAATGGCAACAATCCCAGGCCTAGAAATATATATTAAAAAAAAAAAAGGCTGACAGGGTTGTCTAAAATTCCTCAACCACAAATTATATAAAACTATGTTTATGGTCAAAGGCAAATTAATACATAGAAAATATATCTAAAACGGGATTTAAAATACCACACTAATAAATTGCAAGGGTATATACAAGAGTATATAGAGTATATACAGAGAAGTCTTAAAGTGACACTATAGGCAAATAGTAAATAGAGTGGGCGCGGAGATATGCGCCGGGAGCTTTGCCCGGTGCAGGATTCCAGGTAAGTAAAACTATTTTGCAAGTTTAATTGCAAACGGAGGGTTGGAGTAACCATTTAAATGTTTGCCCTGACTTTGACTTGTCTGAACTGGATTATGATGTAATTTGTTAAATCGTTAGCTAAAGCATCAGTTAAAAGGCATTAAAAGCTTAATTGAGCAATAATATAATGCTAAAACAACTAAATTTCCATGTCATAAACGAAAGACATAAAAGCAACATAGTGGAAAAAAATAACTGTTCAAAGTACACCATTGAAACAAATAAGTTCAAAGATTAGTAGCAAAGAGGACATTAGATGATAATTACCATCTGTTGCACAGATTTCTATCATTCTCTCCAGGATGACTAATGGAGAAATATATGATAGATAAATTACCATTATTTACAAACCAGCCTCTAGGATTATTTTGATGGTGGAGGAATTTAGACAGAGGGATACCACAATGCTTCCCTTCAAACACATGCAGAAAACAACTACTAATAACAGGAGGGACGTCCTCTGTCCAACAAGTGACCATAAAGATACATCCCTGGATAGGATCACATATATTTCTAGTTATACCTCTGTTAGCAGGGATATAAATTCCATTAAATCCAGACATTGTGAAATCCTTGCTAGTGATCCCTCTGCCTCCCATTTTTCAACAACCATTATTACTTTAATATAAAAGGAGTCCTAATCTCAGGTATTCCCTGGTCAAGGCAATTATAAGCTCCCTCAAAAAGAAACAGATTTTGAGGACCAACCATGGATGGGTCCTTTCCACATCTTAACTGTGCTCAATGTAATAGTATCATAAAGGGAGATGTATTTTTTTTTTTTTACACATCCCCGAACAGGGGACGTACATATGCCATTAAGGATTTTTATATGTGCAATTCAAGTTGTGTGGTATATCTGATTAAGTGCCCTTATGTCCTACTCTAAGTTGGAGAGACTATTCATGCTGTGAAGGAAAGACTCAGGGAGCATAGGAACATCAGATTAACCCTAGAAAAGGACACAGGCAAATCCTCACTTACTAAACATTTCAGACTATTTGGTCATAGTGTGAAGTAAGATTCCAGGTTATAGACTTTGTTATCATCATGAGAAGGCGTAGAGACAGGGAATGCCCGTTGAAACAGAGAGAGACTAAATGGGTATCTCTTCTTGATACCCTCTCACTTAGAAGGTTAAAGGGACACTATAGTCACCAGAACAACTACAGCTTATTGAATTTGTTTTGGTGAGTAGGATCATTACCTTCAGGCTTTTTGCTGTAAACACTGTCTTTTCAGAGAAAATGCAGTGTTTACATTACAGCTCAGTGATAACTTCACTGGCCACTCCTCCGATAGCGGTTAGAGATCATTCCTGGGTCATGGCTGCCTAAAATGCATCCAAACATTCAGTGTCTCCGCCCTCTGCATGCAGACACTGAACTTTCCTCACAGAGATGCATTGATTCAATTCATCTCTATGAGGAGATGCTGATTGGCCAGGGCTGTGTTTGAATCATGCTGGCTCTGCCCCTGATCTGCCTCTTTGTCAGTCTAGGCCAATCCTATGGGGAAGCATTGTGATTGGATCAGGCTACTATTTATGATGATGTCAGCTGGCAGTGGGCAGGTTAAAAGGAAACCGTGACAAAGCAAGCAGCTGCAGACTTGAATACAAGTAAGATTTTACTATATTTAGGGAGGCATGAGGGGACTAGGTTGGTTAGATAGTGGTTTTAACCCTATAGGGTCAGGAATACATATTTGTGTTCCTGACCATGTAGTGCTCCTTTAAATGAAGACAAACACTTTGTGCAATAGTTGTAATCCGACACTAAGAAAGTTTTTTCTTATGTTTCCTTTTAGTGCTTCTACCCAGATTATATCAGGGTGGTACTGTCTGGCTTCAGACTATCCATTGAGTAAATCAATGCCACTTTCCTTGACTGTATTTTTATATTTATTTTCAAAAAATATTTCTCTCCCTACGTATGCTTTTTACAAGCACTTAGAATAACCCAACCCCATAATTTGGTATTTATTTTGATTATGATTATTTTTCTTATTTTTCTTATTATTTCATTCTTCATTTGCATTTTTCATTCTTCGCCGATTCTGATTTATGATTGCTCATTTTTATTTTCATTATAGCTTGATTTCAAAACTATTAAGCCCCAATACTGCTGTAAGAAAGTCTGATACCCGCCCCTCCCTCCCCATGCTCATTATTACATTTATAGATTGTCTGTCACACCCAAATTTTAAATAACTACAAATATCAGGTGTACACACTCCCTCTTATTAGTACACTCCTGCACTTTCTTAACCCGTAAAACGTAATATTTAGCCTACCTTCACCTGCTCTTGATATTCCAATTATTTCCAATTTACTTTTTCCCAGTTTAGCAATGATCTGTCTTCTCCTCCTCTTTATTTCCTCCTTCTCCCTCAGTATAAAAATCTCTCCTTATACCCACTTCACTCATCCCTCCATCCACATTTACATATGCCCCTCTCTGCTACACTCCCCACTTCTCTCATCTCATGCCTTGCACTCATTTTGCTATTCTCTCACTCCTACCACAATCAATCTCATCCTAGACCCCATGCATACAAAACCCATTCACACCACCTGTCACTTTCTCACCTTCTGCTTCTAGCAGCTGGTGATGTCTCCCCCAATCCAAGGCCCTTCACCTTCTCTACACACACTAAGAAAACCATAAACCCCACAAACCTCATCACAATACCCTGCCCTTTACCCTCACTTACCAACATTCAGTGTGCACTCTGGAACGCCCGCTCCGTCTGCAGTAATTTAATATCAGCCATACACGACTTTTTCATCTCAAACTCACTCACACTACTTGCACTTACAGAGACCTGGCTGTCCCCCTCTGATAGCGCTACCCCTGCCTCTTTATGTTTTGGTGGGCTACAATTCTCTCACACGTCCAACTGTAAAGGAGGTGGTGTAGGCATCCTTCTCTCCCCTCAATTTAGCAACCCATACAGCGGGAAACACTCTTGATCTCGCCTTCACCAATCTCTGTACCGCCTCTAATCTCTCCAATATTCCTTTTCCCCTGACCACCATCTGCTGACTTTTGACATCGGCATACATAAGACCCAATTGACACCACCGTCTGAACATCAATCTCACAGAAACCTCCAATGTCTTGACCTAGAGCATTTCTCCACTAATCTCCAAACTCTCCTTTTATCTATCTCAAACCTCACCTGTCCTAGCTCTGCAACCTCGCTGCAAAATCTCGTGGTCACTACTCTATCCTAATTCTCCTTGACCTTTCTGTGGCTTTTGACACTGCTGATTATCAACAGCTTCTTCTCATCCTCCGCAGTATCGGTCTACACGATATTGCTCTCTCCTGGTGCTCCTCCTACCTCTCCCAGCGATCTTTCAGTGTTTCTTTCTCTGGCTCTGCTTCTTCTCCTCAACTCCTCTCTATTGGTGTCCCCAAGGTTCAGTCCTGGGTCCTCTACTGTTCTCTATCTACCTTCCTTGGTAAACTCAGCACCTTTGGCTTTCAATATCATTTCTATGCAGATGACACGCAAATCTATCTGCCCTCTCCTGATCTCTCCCCATCCCTAGTGTCTCTGACTGCCTCTCTGCTATTTCTAACTGGATGGCTGCCCACTTCCTTAAACTCAACTTGACCATAACTGAAATTCTGGCCTTTCCTTCCTCAAATGTTGCTACTCTTGTGTCTGTCTGTCTCCAAGTCAATGGTGCTACCATCAGCTCCACCACGCAGGCTCGCTGCCTAGGTGTTCTCTTTGACTCCGACCTCTCCTTCATGCCTCATGTTCAGTCTATCACCAAATCCTGCCGCTTCCATCTCAAAAACATTGCGCGCATCCGACCCTACTTAACGCCAGATGCAAATTAGGTGCTGGTCCATTCCACTGACCTTTCTCGCCTTGACTACTGTAATCCGCTTCTCAGTGGTCTTACGTGTTCCCAACTTGCACCGTTACAGTCCATAATGAATGCGGCGGCGAGGCTCATCTTCCTGTCCGCCCGCACCTCCCACGCCTCACCCATCTGTCAGTCCCTACATTGACTTCCTGTAAGATATAGGGCTCAATTTAAAATTCTGGTTCTTGCTTTCAAATCTCTACATGATGCTGCTCCCACCTATCTATCCTCCCTAATACACAAGTATGTCCCGTCTAGGCCCTTACGCTCTGCTGAAGACTTACGTCTGTCTTGTGTCCGTACTCCCACCTCTGATGCTCGCCTTCAAGTCTTCTCGAGGGCTGCACCATTCCTGTGGAACTCACTTCCCTCCTCCGTTAGATGTTCACCCAGTCTCCTACAAAAAAAATCATTAAAAACTCACTTCTCCATAAAAGCGTATCAATTAAACTGTTTATAGCTCCCGACTGATTCCTCTCTTGCAACTGTCATTAATCTAATACTATCCTTACCTTTTGTGTCACTTTTCCCCACTCCCTCTAGCCTGTAAGCTCATTGAGCAGGGCCCTCAACCCCTTTGTTCCCGTGTGTCCAACTTGTCTGGTTACAACTACATGTTTGTTTGTCCATCCACTATAAAGCGCTGCAGAATTTGTTTGGCGCTATATCAATAATAACAATTATTTATTGTAATTTTTAAAACTTTTATTTTTATTCTTTATTTTTGTGTTTATTACTATTTTATTTTTTAAATTTAATTATGTCAGTATTTTTCCCATCTTGGTTTACACTCGAATAAATTATACACTAACACCCTTTGGCAGGGATTATAACAGTACAGATCTTCCAATGGATCATTCATCTTCTTAATTCTACATTGTAGACCCAATGTATGCGTACAATGCATACCTTGATTATACCAAAAGGCAGTTGTACGAAGGCTAGTCTTATTTCATTATTTCTAAATGGTCCTTGCTCCCTGGACATATTGTGTTTATGCATAAAGTTAGCCACGCATAGTCTGCATTGCTTGTCTATGGTGTGACAAATAAAGTGTATTCGACGCTGATGCTCGCGCGCATTTTATAACACCACCCTGATTGGCCTTCAAAGGAATAGTTCCCAAGCGCACAGACTGCCCGCTGTCCCAAGGATCCATAAGCCAACTGAATTCCTGCACTTACACTGATCCTCACAGCTACACCCAAACTCGCTAAACTTTAAAGTATATGGCAATTTAATTTCACTCCTGGTTCGTGTTAATTACACATACTTCACATTACTGATTCGAGCCATAATCAGGATATACAGTCATGGAAAAAAGAAAGTACACCCTCTTAGAATGGTTTTACATATCAGGACATAATAACAAGTCGTTCCTTAGCATGTCTTAAAATTAGGTAAATACAACATCAGAAGAACAACAACAAAGACATATACCGTATTATTTAACAAAAATAAAGCCAAAATGGAGAACTAAGTACACCCATACTGCTTCCATAGGAATTAAGATGCTAAGTAGCAGACAAGTGCTGCTAATCAAATGCTTGATTAATTGATCATCACCACCTCTATAAAAGGCAAAGTTTTAGTAGATATCATGTCCTGATATGTAAAAAACACAAGAATTTATTTTTCCCATGACTGTATCTGAAAACATATTTTTCCAGAAATATCATTTTTTTTCTCTTGTGTTTTTTTGATTGTTTTTACATTTTTGTAATGTAATAATTTTTATTTTTTTTTATACAGTGGAGAATATCCAGAAACATCACTGAACTTTGTGGATATATTGGATACGTTGGACTTCACAAGGACTTTATAGTAACAGATAGCAGTTTGATTAAAAGATAGTGAGTGTTTTTCTTGCTCAATTTGCTACTTACAGAGGAAGTGTGTTATTTATGCCTTCTTTGGACCTCGGAATCCCACGATAGAGCTTAAAGGGACACTATAGGCACCCAGACCACTTCATCTCGTTAAAGTGGTCTGGGTGCAACCTTAACCCTGCAATCTAAAACATAGCAGTGCACGCGCATTCGTTTGTGGTGGAGCACAAACCAGTGCCGAGGGACATCGGTGCTGGAATCATGTAAGTGAAAGAGTCTTTTAACGCTTTCATGTTTCATGAATGTATGGGGAGAGAGGATCGGGGTCTGTGTGGGCAGAGGAACACTATATTGTTAGGAATACATCTTTTTAGAGTACCTATTAGGGAACAGCTTATTTTTCATCTTTTTGGTTATTGTTTAATTGTATTTACATAGGATTATTCACTTACACTTTGTTTTAAAACTTTATTGTTGGTTATTTTTATGTAACAGAGTTTCCCCCTGGGAGTACGTTAATATCTACACAGTATCTACACTCTGTTGGGGCAAATAAAATGATCTTTTCGCTTGTCCATATTTTCTGCACTTGAAATTCAAGATCTTACTGTTCACTTGCTGCCTAAAATATCCCAGGCCATGACAGATGCCATTGTAACAATATATTCAATGTTATTCACTTAACCTGTCAGTTTTAATGTTGTGGCTGAACAGTATATACTCACAGATGCAAACACAATATATTGCAAACACTCACAGATGCAAACAATATATTACAAACAGAATTGATGTGTGTGTGTGTGTGTGTATATATATATATCCATAAGGATCCATATATATATATACACACACACACATCAATTCTGTTTGTAATATATTGAATATATTGTGTTTGCATATTTGAGTATAGTGAGTGTTTGCAGCTGTGTAAATGCATTGCAGGGTTAAAGATAATGTTAGATGAGAGTAGGGCTAAGTGGTGT